CGCATATTTGATTGGAAATTATTATTGTGCTCAACTATTAATTAGATTTTTGGCTAATTATGAGCAGTTGGCATTTAATTACAGTTTGATGGATATATGGCAAAGCAGAAATATATATATTTAGTTGCTAAATTTAGTTGCTAATTGAATAAGCACATATGCAATAATGTTAACCAAATAAATAGATTTAATATGCATGTGTGCGTGTGTATGTGTGTGCTTGCTGGTATCCAAGTCAAGTGTCGTGCACCCTGGCTGCCTTGTGGCAGAGCAAAGCCGACTGCAGACTTAATCCAATTAATGTTGAATTTAAATGCTTGAGTTCATTTGGCAGCCATGTGAGCGCCAACTCCGCGTATACGTGATGGTCTCGCTGTTGCTGCTGCTGTTGCCAGGCCGCTGGCACAACAGGCAGGGCACGTTGCCGCCGCTGAATCCAGTTGCCGACGCAGCTGTTCGGCTAGTGGCACGTAGATGCTGTATACCTAATACAAGCCGCAGCCGCAGCCACATCCTCAGCCGTAGCCACAGCCACAGCCACAGCCACAGCCACAGCTACATCCTCGTCGTCCCCATAGGTTGCAAAAGGACTCTTTCTGCGGCATAGATAGTTTTTCTGCTTGACGGCCTGTATGCATTCCAGTGGGCGTGTGCCCTGCACGTAGCTGCCATGCGACATCCACCCAACTATGCCACTCGCCCCACCATCCCACTCCGTCAACACAGCACAAATTGGCATATGGGGGCGTATTTTTGGGCAACCAAAAATGGCATTGGCTACGTGAGTGCGCCACTGATGCGTGCGATACGAGTGGTCCCACACACACACACACACACACACACGACGAGAGTCTTTGATGGCTATGACTTGCTTCTGCCTGGACCCGAGCATGTGCCAATGGCTTTTGGTAATAGAACCGCAAATTGAACCGAAATAGTTAACTGCCAATAGCCAGCGAGGCTCCACTGCGATGATGTACAAACTGGCTGTTATATTTTCGATATAGAAATCTGTGGGGCGCTCACGTCATTTTATTGCAACTCTGAATATTTAGCTGTTGTTGTTGCTGTTGCTGTCGCTCAAAATTTTAAACGTTTGCTAACATGGTTTATGCATTAGGCAGCGCTTACAGTCAAATTGATTTACGCAGTGCCATAAATGCATTTCGATTTGATTGAATAAACACACACACACACACAGCCACACAGACACTCGGACATTCCTAAATACCTACACATGCATGCATTTACACTTACACACACACATGCTATGCATTCATGCAAGGACAATTTCAAATCAATTTGCGCTCATTTGAATTTGGCGAAAACCAAAGTGCAAACCGAGCGTGATAATTCAATAAGGTCGAGCGCACAGCACGACGCAGTTGCTTGTGTGTGTGTGTGCCCATATTTGAGTGTGTGTGTGTGTGTGTGTGTTTGTGTGCAAAGCTACTTTCGTATTCCTGTTGGGCCACTGGGCTACCTTGACACTTTTTGTTGGATCTCGGCGATTAAAATACATGCGAGAAGAGCCCAACTTGAAAAGGTATTTTCTAGGGCAAATACTTCATCTCATATATAAATACCTCTTGCTTTTGTTGTACCTATCAAATAATGTTTGCTTTATAATCAGCTTTTATGCGCTTCTAGTTTATATTTGATTAAAAGTGTGTTTGTCCAATTTCATGGCAACACTGGGCTTAAATTTTTGGTTTTTATCGATAGAACAAAGAGTGAGAAAGAGAGGGTCGAGAATTACATAAATTTGATAGTCGCATTAATCAATTTACTTTGTATATTAAAAAAAACAATTTTTAGGTTATCACTGAAATGAAGTAGAAAAGAATTCTCATATTTCAGATATATCAGAATAAGTAATAAACACAGAGTACTCCTCACATTACATTTACATTCGTATGCACTCATTTATTCTCTTGATAATTTTGCTACATATGAGAAGCTATGTGATTTACGAACTGCTTTAAATTTGTTGTACACCTTGCAGTGGCTTCAACTGCCGGCACGGGGCGTATATGCAGTTGTTGTTGTTCCTCTTCTACTCATCTCTGGCAAATGTGAAATATAATTTGTTTACAACTTGAAGTCGGCTCCACTTGTGGCATGCGGCAGACTTAGTTCTCTCTCTATCTCTCTTTCTCTCTCTCTCATACTCTCTCTGTCTAGCTCTTGCTGTAGCTTGTACCGTGCCTTGCGCGTGTAGCTCTAACAACAGATTTATGTAAAACTTATTTATTATTGTCTGTGGCAAGCAGCTGGCCTGGGCCATAGGGCCCATTATGGTGCCTGCATGAGGGGTGGGAATTAGCTCGTGGCCATGCGCGTATTAAATGCTAATTTATGAGACGCCAATGCGACCCACTCTGGGCTGTGCATAAAAATGTGATTTTCTCTTTGCAGTTTTAGTGCTGCCCATCAACCATAAGCTGGAGCAGGCAAAGAGTTGAGTCGCGCTGAGCTGAGTTGAGCTGGTTGTAAATGTGCGAAAAGGCAAGATTAATTGGGTGTTATTATAGCCGAGTCCGTTGCGCGGGCGGGCGATGCATGGTGAAGGGTTCGTTCAAATTAATGCGCTCGGCTGTGTGGAAACTCTTACGCACTCAGAGATGCACAGCCCCAGGCCCCGGGGTATGCGAGAGTCCATTGTGAATAATTGGGATATAACTTTAATGTACTCAAATTTCGAGTATTCTAGGTTCACTCCACATTGGCAGCGCCCAAACTAATGCTGCCTCGGTTCGAGCCAATTTGTTTTTCACCGTGAATTCGACCTTGTTCTGCATTGTAACTGAATATTGAACATTAATGTGCATGGTGAATGTGCATTAATTATGGCCAAATTGCATATTTTGCTGCTGCCCGCAGGCATCGCATTCCTGCGGCATTTGACGGCTTCAGTTTCGGTTAAGTGTATAGCGGGGCGGGGAGAGGTTTTCAGTTTACTGTATTCATTAGCATTAATAAAAGCAATTTGAAGGATTCAATAATCAATAAAGCGGCGCCATAAGTTATACAAATACCAAATGCCAGTCAAGCTGGGAATTAATTATGCAAATGATTTAATCTCTAAAGTATTATATGGCACAACCCAAAGGTATGCGAGATTTCAATGGACAGCTTGTGATATCTAATGCATAAATCAAGGCAATTTTAAAGCAGCAGAAGTCAGAGTACTCTAGTGGGTAGACGAGCTTCCGATTTGCCTACGCTTCTTTTATAAATACCAGACATACGCAAATGGAAACATACATGCTTACTTGAACTGAGCTTGTGAGATTTACCAGGAAAAATTAATTGTTAATGGAATTCTAAACATGTTCAGCATGTTAATTGGGTATTAGCAATTCGAAACATTTGAATATTTTATTGTCACAAAGCCTAATTAGTGAATTGAAAATCTTTATGTTTTAAGGAACTATAAAATATTATAATAATGAAGAAGCAGCATGAATTCGCAAAATATCTATTTTTTTTTTTTTATTATCATTAATAGTCTTTTTGATTTTTAGTCCTTTGTTTTTTGACTCTAATTAGCTGTAAAACAGAGATGCAACTTTTACCAGATTTCTGTGTATATATATTTCTATATGCAATATATATGATTCAAATTCCATGCCAATAGCCTCACAAGTGCAATAAAGGACATGCAGACAGTGGCATGGAACATTGCACAAATCGAAACTATAAATTTTTTTGGGAAGTTCAAAAGACTTATAAATTTTGTTTCCTTTACCCAGCCAAAAATAATATATTTTCCAACATATACATACATATAGTTTCAGAAACTTTTTAAAATAATTTAGTTTGACTTGTTTATTCGCAAAACTAAAATGTGTTTTTATAAACTTGCTTCATCTAAATATTTATATTTATTTTCATTTATGAATTATTTTCATACATACAGAAAATAAACTAAAATAGAATTGCTCGTATTTTGATGCAATGTTGCATAGTCATTTGCTCTGTTGCACTTTGAAGTGGCTCGTGCAACTCGACTGTTTGGCATTTGTCTGCTTAAAATGCGCATAATTTCTGATGCATTTGTCAGTTTGACTTTTTATACCCTGAAGCCATTGAAAATGGGAAATCAGGGTATATGGATTTCATGAAATGTATGTAACAGGCAGAAGGAGGCGTGGAAGATCCCATAAAGTATATACATATATTATTGATCAAGGCGACGAGCTGAGTCGATTTAGCCCTGTCCGTATGTCAGAATATATAATAGCTAAATGCTTTCTTTTTAAATATCCGTATAAACAGCGCGGATATAGAGTTTATCTTAAAAATCGATAACTCAGTCCGTTATTTTGTTATCAATTAGAAATCAATTGTCTAATATTAGTTATTTTCTTATATCTCCTACACATTTATAGAGAGAGCTTCTAAATTTTAATGTAGATTTATATGCATTTCATAGAATTTCGATTTTTATTGTAATTTACCCCCACTCCTAATAAAGAATTTAGTCTCTCTCCCTCTCTCTTCACCACCTTCACCAGAGCAGAATGATTTGAATATCAGCTTGGAGGGTTCAGGGTATCTCCTAGTCGAGCAGCCTCGAGTAGAGCCTTCTTCCTTGTTAGTTTTGCAATTAACTTGAAAAAAAAAAAAAAAAAA